TGTTTTGACCACTCTGTATTATAGACTGCCTTGAACACCACTCCCTTATATTGGTGACAGTCACTGAGATTTAACCATTAATTCTAAATTTAATTAGAACTATGGTTTTAATTCTTGAGTTTCCCCATAGCCACAGAGAACTAGTACATGTAATTTATCCCAGCATAGTTTCACTGGGAAGGTATAGTTCCCAGTTGGACTTGGAATGTGTATGAGAAGTTAACCAGATGGTTACAAAGACAGGCAGGGTACTCTGGACGAAAAGGTGGAGCATAAGCCAGAAATGAGGAACGTCACACCTGGTGTAGGCAAATCTTGTTTTTTACCACAGAGTCTTCTAGACTATGGCAAAATAAATGTAAGGGACAGTTCACAGGCTGGGGAGTAGAAAGCAGGGAAATTGAGTGCAGGGTCTGGGTGTACAGATGGCAAACAAATCTGTTAACTAACATAGCTTAAAGACAAATCATGAAAATTTTATGTCTGAATTAGAGAAATCTTACCTTGATTCTGTGTAATGCAACTGTTGACATTTGCACAAGACAAGTTCATGTAGGATCTCCCTGATAGTGTAAATCCCCTTAGATGAATGCTATGAATGTGCTGTGCTTCCGCTTGTCCTGGTGAAACAGACAAGCTGTAGAATTTACATGTAGGAACCAGAGATGTTCAGCTGGCCTCCTCTGGAGCTGGAGCGCTGCATTCTACTGGGGCGGAGGGGGAGGGAGAGGTGGGGAGTCTCAAGGCATTTTGAGAGGGCAGAGGCAGGTTGCAGGGGAGGCACGTGAGCAAGTCTTGGGAGCCTTCATTGGCACCCCAAAGAGAAGTACCATTTCATCTGTTTCCTATTGTAGGGTTCCACATAAAATTTGATGTGTAAAACCAAAGAGAAAATGCTTGTACCTGAAAGAAAAATATGGTTCAAAACCTCTGGAGTACAAAGTTCATTTTTTTAAAAAAGTGACCCAACTACAAATTTTGCCACTCTAAAATACTGAAGCTTTTTTGCTTTTTTTTTTTTAAGATTTATTTATTTATTTGAAAGTTGGGGTTGCAGAGAGAGAGAGAGAGAGATCTTTTATCCACTGGTTCCCTCTCCAGATGGCTACAATGGCTGGGACAGGACCAGGCCAAAATCAGGAGCCAGGAGCTTCATCTGCATCTCCCATGTGGGTAGCAGGGGCTCAATCAAGTACTTGGGCCATCTTCTACTAATTTTCCCTGTTCATTGGCAGGTAGCTGGATTGGAAGTAGAGCAGCTGAGACATGAATTAGTGACCATATTGGATGGATGCTGTTGTTGCAGGCTGTGATGTTACCCACTATGCAACAACATCAGCCCCTGGAATACTGATGTTTTAAATTGTAAATCTAGAGGGCCATGAGCAAGTGGATTGAGCCTCCCATTTCATGAAGGGCAGGAGATGGCCTGTTAACCTCACAGACTCAAAATCTCGGTGTGTTGCGAGGTTTGCACGCTGCATTGACAGAGTCCCTAACGAATATAAACTTACCATTTGCACAGACTTAGAAATGGTCATCAGAATGATCTAAAGCAACCTAACAGGCTTTGCTGTCTATCCAGTGGAACAGCTCTTGAAATCCACACCTTGGAAAGGGGCTCTCTCAGCTTCTCCACAGCTGATAGGAAGAGGACTCTCCCCTGAGGCACCTGGGCCTTGCAGGCCCAGCGCTTGTCCACTGAGGATTCGCTTTTCATCAGCATGCTTGGGGAGTCCAGGTTGGGCCCTACTGAGGAAGCCGAGAAATCCCAGTGAGGAAGGTGATTCTGGAGGTGGAAATTACGGCCAGGAAGTACGAGCTTCTCCTCCTTGTTCTGGATTTGACCTTTTCTTCTTTTCTTTCTTTCTTTCTTTTAAGGAAGAGAACGCGTTTCCCCGGAGCATTCAATGGAGGATTAAGAGAATTAGTAGACTCTGGTTGTTTTAGTTTTAGAAAATGACCTTGGGGAGATTATCTAAATTCCCTATGCCTTAGTTTCCCTGTGAGAAAATGAAAAGAACAAGGCCTGAACCCTCCCAGTCACAAAGGGGCAGATGTTAAAAATATAAAGGATTTTAGCTTCTATAAAGGGAATGAACATGCAGCATATGAGTTAAGGTGCGTGAACATGTGTTGTTAACCACGCTAAAGACAGAGATGCACAGTTGGTATTATTCAGTTCTCTGTACAAAAACATAGTGGCCAACTGTGTTTTTAATGCCAAGAACCCTGAGGAGCAACTGGTTTCCAAGTATCAACACTTAGCGCTAAGCGGGGAGATGCCTCCCGGAAGATAAGAGACTAGCAGTCTGTCTGGTGTCCAAAAAGCTTTCCAGACGGCAGTTTGTTTCCTCTCACTTTTTATGAATGGCGGTAGTATTATGCTTCATTCTGCGTTTTTTACCAAAGCCATTCATAAAAATAAAAACAAAACAAAATAACAACACAAAACTTTCTCAGCACAGTCTGGAGCCAGTGGGTGCCAGGGGCTGGGAAAACATCTTGGCAGCCATAACCGCAACCAGCATTGAAAGTATTCAAGGGTCTGTTTGTTTGGTGGTCTGAAAAGTATGAAGTGCTGTGTCTAAGGGTAGCTGGTAGAAGTTCGGTGACACAGACTAGGCCGGGAGCCAGGGCTGGCAGAGTTTCAGACATTGTCTTTCCCCTCATTGAAGTGTCAGGACCTAATTCATGGAAAATTGGGTGAGCTGGCAGCCCTTTCAGAGGATTTCATTGAGCCGCAGTGTGCAGGAGTCACATGAATGCGGGATCCTCAGCCAAGAAAGGAGGGGGATTTCTCAGCAGTAGGAGCCAGTCAGCCTGCAAGAATGTGTGTGGATTTGAAACGGCTTGGGAGTAAACATGTGTACAGGTGTAATCGGCAGGAAAAAAGAGGAGGAAGAAAAGTGTGCTGTTCTTACAAATGACCCTTTTGAAATGGATACTCTCTTAGCACACGCTTTTGCGTCCTAAGAGGCAAGAAGTCCTAACCATCCTTGGTTCAATTCCACCTGGAGAAAACATCATCTCAAAGCTGGGCTTTTACAGTGATGTCATCTCTACTGTGATTTAAAGTCAGAAGGAAGAGCTTTTTTTTTTTTTTCCATGAGCACAATTACCTTGCCATCTATTTTATTTTTACCTTGTTCATCTAAAAACAGCTCTGATGATTTTATATAACGTTTTAAACATATAGGTGATATAAAACATCACCCTAACACAGACATTCTGAGAGGAAAGGAAATGAACAAGAGCTTTATGATATAGTGAATCTACCCTAACTTCTCTTTATTTGGGGGAAGGTACTAATTTTGTTTCTTGAAATCGTACCATGAAAGCATGTCACTGGCCACAGCCACGTGGCTCAGGTATATTTGCAAATTTCAGTGATGTGAACAAACCCACAGAATGGGAGCAAATATTTGTAAGTCATATATTTAATAAGGGACCAGGGTCCAGAACATGAAAAGAACCCTTAGAATTCAACAATGGAAAAAAACTTGGGGCCAGCATAGTACTGTACCAGGTTGATGCCAGCATTCCATATAGATGTTCCCTGTTGCTCCACTTGCAATCCAGCTCGCTGCTATTGGCCTGGAAAAGGCAAGGGAAGATGACCTTAAGTGTTTGGGCCCCTGCAACCCATGTGGGAGACCTGGATGAAGTTCATGGCCCCTGGCTTTGGTCTGGCCCAGTCCTGGCTGTTGTAGCCATCTGGGGAGTAAACCAGTGGATGTAAGATTCCTCTCTTTGTCTTTCCCTCTCTCCCTGTTACTCTGACTTTCAAAATAAACAAATACATAAACCTTGAAAAAATAAACCTCAAATTTTTAAATGGGCAAAGGATTTGAATGGATTTATCCATAGAAGATAAACAAATGGCCCATAAGCACATGGAAAAAATGCCCATCATCTTTGGTCAGGAGGAGGTTTTCAAATTGGAACACATTCAACTTCATACACATTTGGATGTCTGTAATAAAAAACATAGACATTAATAAATGTTGGCATGTATGTGGAGAAACTGGAAATGTCAAACCTTGCTGGTGGGACTGTAAAATTGTGCAGCTGCTTTGAAAAACTGGCATCTAAGTAAAACATAGAGTTACAATATCTCCCAGCATTTCCACTCCTAGGTGGACACCCAAGAGAAATAAAAACAAATCCTCACTCTACCATGTATATGAATGTGCATAGTAGTATTATTCATAATGATTCATAATAGCCAAAAGGTAGAAACAACCCAGACATCCATCAGCTGGTGAGTAGTTAGATACAAGGTGGTATATCCACACAGTGGAATATTATTTGGTGTAGAAAGAAATGCATACTAATAATACAATATGGGTGACCCTAAAAACCACTATGCCAGTGAAAGGAGCCACACTCGAGAGGCTTTATATTATGTGATTGTATGCACAAATGGGAAAATTGCAGAGAAAGAAAGTAGAGCAGTGGTCAGTTAAGCATTGGGCAGTGAAGGGAGTAGGGAGTGGTTGTAAATTGGGGTGCAGGGTTTGTTTTAAGGAAGATTAAGATGTTCTAAAGTTAGACTGTGGTAATAGTTGTAGAACTCTGAATATACTAAAAAACTTTGAATTATATACATATAATTGAATTACATATATACTATATGCATAAGAATATATATTAAATGAGAGAATTTTGTGGCATGTAAAGATACCTCAGTAAAGCCATTTTCTAACAAATTAGACCACTCACTCTTCAAATTTCATGATAGATGAAAAACAAAGGGAATCAAATAATTTCTTTGGATAGAGTTGGGATGTATGCCAGAGTCTAATTGGGAATTGCTTTAATTGAGATAACCCTAACAAATAGAGATCATGAATACACCTTCTTTAAGCTTGGGTAAACCACATGGTCTGTAAACTTTCTTCTCTGGTTGGCAGACAGATTCTGCGTGTAAACTCTGTAGACTTTTTTATTACATATATTTCTATAATATAACATTTCTTCTTGGTTTTTTTCTTTAGCCACAACAAGTCATTCAGAAGAAGCCTGCTCAGGTAAGACATGATCAGGACTTTCTTTTCCTCCCAATTAATATAAACAGTAGAGTGATGTTTTCCTGGGAGAAGTCCCGTATTTAGCCATTAACTAATATTTTTCTAATTTTGATTTGGTTAACACTGCAGTAGTTTTGAAAAATTGTTGTATCCTTCAAAGTCAGAAATATAAATTCTAAGACTGTGTTATTAAAAACCAAAAAAAAAAAAAAAACAAGCCTTAAGTGTACAAAGAGTTTAAAAATAACACTATTTAATTTAGTGCCCTCGAATGAAAAACAAGTGTTAAATCTTACCATGTGCTTTGCTTATTTTTAAAAATTAAATTTTGGTTTTATTTTCACGGGGCTGGTGTTGTAGAATAGCGGACAAAGCTGCCACCTGCAGCACCGGCATCCCATATGGGTGCTGGTTCGTGTCCTGGCTGCTCTGCTTCCAATCAGCTCCTTGCTAATGGCCTGGGAAAGCAGTAGCACATGGCCCAAGTGCTTGGACTCCTATACCCATGGGGAGACCTGGGAGGGAGAAACTTGGCTCCTAGCTTCAACATGGCACAATCCTGACTGTTGTGACCAAATGGAGAGTGAACTAGCAGATGGAAGATATCTCTCTCTCTCTCTCTCCCCCACCTCCCTCTCCGCTCCCCCATCTCTTTCTCTCCCTCTCTTTCTCTCTATAACTCTTTTGAATAGATAAATAAATATTTTTAAATGAAAAAAAATTTGGTTTTATTTTCCATCTGTATATATTCCTTTGACTTGATCCAGGATTTGTTAGTTGCAAAATATATGTTCATTGAATTATTCCATAACATATGATGATCCCAAAACACATCAAAGGAGACTGAGAAATTGGGAAATTTGTTTAAAGATTTATTTATTTATTTATTTAAAAGGCAGAATGAGAGAGAGAAGAATTCGATTGATCTTCCATTTACTGGTTCATTTCCCAAATGCTTGCAACAGCCAGGGCTGGGCCATTCTGAAGCCAGGAACTCCATCCTAGTCTCCCACATGGGTGGCGAGGGCCTCAGCACTTGGGCCATCATCCGTTGCCTTCCTAGGTGCATTGGCAGGAATCTGGATTGGAGGCAGAGTAGAAGGGACTTGAACCAGCAATCTGATATGGGATTCAGGTGTCACAAATGGTGGCTTAAACTGCTGTGCCACCATGACAGCCCTGGGAAATTAAGTTATCCTGATTCTGAAGATTCATGAACCCTCAAGTATTGCTTAAATGACCAAGTCACAGTCTCTGAAGCCTTTGGCAACATCAAGATTAGGACCCAACTTTACTTTTTTAGTTTCATGTGCATGGAGTTCCTTGTTCTTTTACACAGAAATGTAAAAGTCCTCTTCATTGAGGAAGTATATCTTGAAGAAAACAAAAATGAAGAATAAGTTTAAAGTGATGGCCAAGAATCTATTAAAGTGTAAGAATGACCTGGTATTCTCTTCCCTTCTTAGTTTAAATAGACTCAAGAGATCTAGTTTGTATCAGGCAGAGCCTGAAGAAGTAAGTTACTAAACGCTGTCATGAATTACCAAGTTCCCTAGAGATCACGTTCATGTAATTTAAAAGATCCATGGAGTCCTTTCCCAAGAGGCCTTTAAATATGTGCCTGGCATGAGAATGTTGCTTTGCCTAGGAAAGGCCATCCAGGAAATCTTATATGTCTACTGTTGTTTTAAATGTTGCTTGGAAGAGAACCAAAGCTTCTAAACACATGTAATGATGCAAGAATGTGTATTCAGCTAATTATACATATACTTCAAATGGAATAAAACCAGAGTTATCTTTTTCACTGTCACTGCCATACCTGAAAGCCCAGAGTTGTAAAGGAGCACTAGAAGTACTCACGTTTGGAGCCAGTGCTATGCTGTGGCCGGTGAAGTCACCACCTGCAATGCCAGCATCCCATATCAAAGCACTGCTTGAATCCCAGATATTCCACTTCTGTTCCAGCTCCCTGCCAATAACCCTGGAGAAGCTGCATAAGATGATCCAACTCTGGACCCAGAGTTCCAGGCTCCTGGCTCTGGCCTTGCCCAGCCCTTGCTGTTGGGGCCAGTTGGGGAGTGAACCAGTGATGGAAGATCTCTTTCTGTCTTCCCCTCTCTCTTTGTCACTGTGCCTTTCAAATAAATAAAATGAATCTTTAAAAAAAAAACTCATTTGTAAACAGTATTAAATGAAACAAAATATGAGAGACTTGACTTTTTTTAAATATTTTATTTATTTAAGAGGCAGAGTTACAGACAGTGAGAGGGAGAGGCAGAAAGGTCATCCTTCTGTTGGTTCATTCCCCACTTGGCCGCAACAGCCGGGCTTGCGCCAATCCGAAGCCAGAAGCCAGGAGCTTCCTCCAGGTCTCCCATGTGGGTGCAGGGGCCCAAGGACTTGGGCCATCTTCCACTGCTTCCCCAGGCCATAGCAGAGAGCTGGATTGGAAGAGGAGTAGCCAGGACTAGAACCGGCGCTCATATGGGATGCAGGCACCGCAGGCATAGGATTAACCTACTGTGCCATGACGCCAGCCCCAAGACTTGACATTTTGAATAGGAGATCCAAAAGATATTTAGCTTGTCATCCTTAATTAGTAATCAAGAAAAAGTTAATTGGTGCGAATATACTGTGCTTTTGAGTCAAAAGATACCTCGGTGTTTCCTGTTGCAACACAGGCTGTGAACTGGAGTGATGACCTTGTGTAGTTTGTTAACAACACTGATTCTGCTCTTGATGTTGTAGGAAAAGATAAGCCAAACGAACAATTATTGCAACTGAGAAATGTGTAGTCTCATTCAGAGGTTCTTAACCCTGGCTGCATATTAGAGTCTCTTAAAAATAATGCTCCCAAACTGTTGAAATCTTTACTTAGTATATACTAACCCATATGCTGTGTCTGCCCCATTCGATGGTGTGCTAGAGCCAGCCCTTAGGAACTGTTCAGACTCTACCTTCGGTGAGGTCAAGTAGGTAGCTTGAAATACATTATAGTGCGAGTATTTACACTATGAAAATTGACCAATAACTACAAATCCCCACCCTTCAACAATTCTGTTTATTTGATCTGGAGACCCAAGTAGCAAGTATATTTTTCGTGAACTCCCCAAGTGATTCTAATGTGTAGGTGGGGATGAAGATACAAAGTAAAATCACCCAAAAAGATGCTTGCACATTTCTTGAGCAAATGACCACAAAATGTCAACATACGTGGGACCACAGGGGATACAGGTGAATTCCACGGGTGGTTATAGGGATGGTTCCCTGAACAGTGGAATGTATTGTGCTTTGGTTGTTGTTTAGTTGGAGAAGATAAAATGGAGACATAAATTCAAGGAAAGAAAGGGAGATATAATAGATGAGTGTTAAAGACAAAAGTAGGCGAGGCAGGACCTAGTACACCACAGGTGGAGATCATTAATGTGTCTGGAACTGATTATAAGTTGAGCATTAAGACATTAAAGATAATGTAAGTGAAGGCACAGATTTATTGATTTGTTTATCTATCTATTGCTGAGATAATCAGGAAGCTCAAAGCAGTCTCAGTGGGTTGAATTGGCTGTTACTGGTCAATCTGTTTGTTGTCCAGACCCTGCTCCATGTTAGCCATTCCAAGGAAAGGAGTTCCCATGTGGATCAGGAAAAAGAACATGAGCTCACTGGACTACCTAATTTATATTGTCAAAGGGCACAGTGATGAATTCTGTAAACATGGGACACATGGAAGTTCGCGGAGGATGATATAAATTTTACACCACCTTCAGAAGACTTCTTTCCTTTCCATCTGTTTCTTCAAAATACTCTCCCAAATGGCTTTTCCATGTGGCAATCTGGATTAATTTAGGCTCATGTCTTTTCCTCACCAGCAGCACTTTGAGGAGTTACATTCAGATACTGTTTTGAGGTAGTGAAGGTTTTAGCACAAATCAGTATCTTGCACTTAAAGGAAAGGGCTCCACAGTCTGTAAGGAGACCTGAGTTTTTTGTTCTGGCCCTGTCCCTGTGCTGATAAATCTCTCTTTGTCCTGTTTATCCATGTAGGGCAACGGGATGATAACAAGTGCCTCTGCTCTTGCTCCCAGGAACATTGTGAGAGGTTCCTTGTTGTATAAATTCCAGCAGTGTGCTGTCATGTTCTGACTTATTTTTGGCTTTAACGTTTTCATTTGCAGAGATGTATATTCTGAAAAATTTCTAGAATTTTAATTCATTAGAAACTGCTACCTTTTTTTTATCTCAAAAGAGTTTTCATTGCATGTTTTTTAAGTAAGTTTTTTTTTTTTAACTAAGGGAGATTTTATTGTAATCACTACCTCCTATCATTAGGACTAAAGCAGTCAGAATCACCTTCCTTGTACATACATTACATGTATATAGGATTACAAAGACTCTGTGGTAAAGTATCCTCATCCCATCACATTCCAAAACCTCTTAAGAACTTTTGAGGTGGACGTTTGGCTCCAGAAGTTAGTACACCACTTGGGATGCCCACGTCCCATATTGGAGCACCTGGGTTGAGTCACGGCTCTACTTCTGATCCAACTTCCTGCTGATGGCACCCTGGGAGACAGCTAGTGATGGTTCAAGTACTTGGTTCCCTGCCATTATCTGGGAGACAAGGATGGAGTTTCTGACTCCTGACTTCCACCTGGCCCAGTCCCAACTGTCATGGGCATCTGGGGAATGAACTGGTCCATAAGGATCTCTCTCTCCACCCCCCTCCTCCCACCCTCCCTCGTTCTCTCTCTTTCTATCCATTTCAAATTAAAAAATGGGAAACACCTTTCTCAGTGAGGATACAAAGCAGTAAAGTTCATTCGAAGGAGACAAATCTAGAATCACAACAAACCTCAGCATCTCTGGAATGCATTTGTGCTTGTGCAATATAGTGCACGTGTCTACAGAGGAATAGACATTGAGGGGAAGCCCTACTGGGGGGCTTTGTATTTGGAAAGTCTACCAGGTGCCCTCAGCTGCAAACCTCAAGTATGTCCCCT